GTTTTAAACCCTTCCCACATTCTTGCAATATTCTAAACAATGTTTCTAAACTCTAAAGCTCTAAAAGAGCACAGAATGTCATGATTTCACCTCCCTGCCTCCTCCGCTCTTAGCCACCTGCAAGCGTTCTTGGCCACGCCCACTTCTCCGCTCTGCACGGAGAACAGCTGATCAGCTGCAGCAGGAAGTTCATTCTGCAGTATGGGCTGCACAAATGTGCAACAGGTGCTAAATAATTTAAAATTTATTTAAAATAAAAATTCCATGCCAATCGTGCAGCTCATCCATCAATCATCCGATCGTGTGTCATGTCTAATCTTATTTTGAAAAACCAAGATGGAGTGAGTCCACGATAAACGAACCGCGAAGTAGCGAGGGACTACTGTACTTTTGCGCATTTGTTTGTTCGCTGTTTTATTTTGTTTCAAAACGAATTCAAATAAGGAAGAATTGTGTAAAAGTGTTGAAAATTTGAGCACTTTTGTTTGATATATATTCGCTAATAAATGATGACTTCATGCATCACACGACTTTAAAACTAAAAGGACATGCTACACTGGATTAGCCCAAATGCTAATGTGGAACTGTTATTGTTTTTGTGTTTTTTAATGGCCCTCAGTCACTAACTTAAAGATCTTTAAAGGTCTTTACATTAACCTAAAACAACTGTGCTTGTTTAATTTAGTAATATCACAGAACTCGAGCCTTTCCAGTGTGAACTGATGAAAATCTGACTAAAATCATCAACGGCTGTTTCTGAAAAACCATTTTGAGGTGTTGTGTACAGATCACACTGGAAGCACAACTGAAGAATAAAAATGTATTTTTCTTATCTTTCTATTTGATCAAAGTTAAGACAGTTTGTTTTTGCTTCATGCACATTGTTGTATCCAAACGTTTAATGGAGTCAAAAATAAGGGATGTTGTTGAGGTCATGTTTCATTTTGTGGCAGTCTGTAATTTAATTTGTGCCATACAAACCTAGTTGTAAATGTACTTTTAAGTATGAAAAAAATGCATGAATTAGAAGCAAATAATGGGTAACTGTATATATTTTTTTTACTAATTTAGTATTTTCTCCTGTCTGTGCTGCAGCGTGGTGGACCCGAGTGACTCACTTCCTGCAACCAAAGTCCTCTGATGGACATCGCTCTCTTTAATCTGCTCTTCAGCACAATCCTGATGCTGTGACGCACGGAGAATAAAGTTTTACATGAAGCCTGTTCAAATGAACATACGTTTATTTTCAGACGGTTGCAGTGTACTTTAAGATCACGTTAAACGGAACATTTTATTGTAAAACACTGAAAAGCCATAATAGCTTCTCCGTTTAACTCCACTGGCGATTCACGTATTCCTAACAGATTTTTTTAAATTATTAATTTGCTTTAAAGTGAATATTTTGTTTTAGCTACACATGAAATGCCATCAATTTTAAATAAATGGTTGATACAGATTTCAATCGGTCCTTTAAATTGTTTTGCTCACGTGAACCATTGAATAGATTTAAACGATGAATGCATTTTGTTTGTTGCGTTCTTTACGTTTGATGGGAACACAGAGAACTTATCTTAAACAAGCAGCGTATATAAACAAACGATCAATATGTTGTTGACATTGCAGGTATTTATTGTTGATACCAATGCTGGCATGCCTTGTAAGATAAAACATTCACAACATCACAACAGTGCAGTAACACTGGCCACCATTAACAGTTTTCTAAATATAAACTTCAGAGATTTTTATTACTTGGATGAATATTGGCACAAGTTGTACAGACGTAACAGAGGTCAAAGGTGAAATAACACTTCACCCTTCTGACGAGCAGATTGTCTGCTTCGTTTTTAAGCAAAGCTGCTCACTGCTGCACTTTTTTTTTTTTTTTTAATCACCTAAAGGTGCCAGGCAAACATTGACAAAATTATTTCTGCATATTTAAGCCTTTTGGGCAAAAAAGGAAATTACCAGCTTCTAAACACATGGCTTTACAAAAATATTTTAAATGTTTAAAGACCTAATGTCAAATACTATGCATGGACTTCATGACGTATATTCAGTAAACAAGAAGAAACTGTTAAGTCACAAATTATTACAACACTGGGAGAAACACAGAAATGCACTGATGACTTTACCGTATTTTTTGGACTATGAGGCGCACTTAAAATTATTTAGTCTTCTCAAAAATCGACAGTGAGCCTTATAATCAGGCGCACCGTATGCATTAATTCTGGTTGTGCTTACTGACCTCGAATCTATTTTATGTGGTTTTTGTGAACAAGCTGAATAAAGTTCGACTTATCTGTTTTGTTTCGCTTAATGCGCCTTATAGTCTGAAAAATACGGTAGTTTTTCTGTCCTACATGTTCTTGCTCACAAACATAAAGAGCGTCTTATTTATTTGCTTTTAATCATCAGTTGGAACGTTTTGTGCAGATGCCAGACTTTTATTAATGTCGCACTTGAAATGCAGCCGGAGCGATCTGTGCCCCGTGGTGGCAGCGAAATGACACGTCAATCGTTCAGTTCTTCCAGTTCCTCAAAAGCGGGGAGGAAATCGGCGATGGTGTCCACCACATAGTCAGGCACAAAGCTGTGGTTGGTGGTCAGGTCACTGTTTCTGTACTCGTGGGCCTCTTCGAGCTGAGACACGCCTGTGAGAGTGAGCATGGTGTCCAGGCCGCAGTTTGACCCGAACAGCATATCAGTCTCCAGGCGGTCCCCGACCATCAGGCACTGGGAGGGATCCACACCTCTGAACTGGCTGGAGATGCACTCGAACATGAAGCGGCTTGGCTTACCGATCACGGTGGCTTTGCGAGCCGAGGCCACCTCGAGAGCTGCGGTCAGGGACCCCGAACCTATGGAGGGTCAAAAATTCAATGGGGTTAGGTCACAGAAACCCAAACTAAATGCACACACAGTTTACCTCGTACCAACTCTTTTACTCCATCTAAACCAGGGCTATTCAACTGGTGGCCAATGGGTGAGCTCAGTTCAGCTCACCAGTGGGTTCATATTTAAATAAAACTAGATTTTAAACCAGAAAACAAACTTGCTGAATGACAACTGCAGGATGCTCAGCTCCTGAGCTCTGGGCTTTGAGGCCCCCAGAGCAAGAGCTGCTAATGTTTTATAACGACGCCCAACAGCCAAAGCTATTAAAGCTCCTGCATTTTATCTAATCTTTTCTACAGTTAGGAAGAAAATTAAAACGTGTGATTTATTGTCGATCACTGCCTCGGCTTCTTGGCTGTGTAATAAAAAGAGACGTCATTAAGTAGCCTGCTGTGAGCACAATGTACAGTTAAAGGTGGAGAGGTGCAGAAACAGAATGGAAGACTGAAGGGCTCCCTTGTGTCAGATCAGGGTGCAGCTAGACACTGAACTCAGCTAAACTTATTGGCTGATATTTGCCCATTTAAACAAAACTGGTTACTGAGTTAGAAGATAAGCAAGAATGCTCTTATATATATTTAAGTGTTGCTCTCTAAGTGTTGTTAAATGTTTGTTTATATTAACCAAGTTGTGTTTTAAAAAGAAAACGCTATTGTCCAGAAACAAACGATCTATATTTTGGTGTTCTGTTAGCCATGGCTGCCTGATTTCTAAAGGTTCAGCGTCGGTCATAGAAAACAAAATATCAGTCAGCCTCTACCTAGAATCTGCTGTTGCATCAGATTTTCCTACATGTTTAAAACCAATGTTAAAGAAGTCCAAAGAAAGGCAGTCTTTGTAGCGTTTGCTAGACTGGAGTTCATGTCAAGTGCATTGCAAATGTTTTTTTTTTTGTTGTGGAAATAAAATAAAGTTCTAAAAATTAGTTTTTTTTGTTTTTTTTTTATTCAGCACTCTATGTGTTAAATGTTTTATAAAATGTGTGTGATGCATAAATATTAACGTGCAAATGTGAACTCCTGCAACAATAAATTTGCAGGAGTGAGCTCCCACCTTTGGCCACCCTTAAAAACTCTATATCCGCCCCTGCATCAGACAAAACCTGCATTGTTTTGAAAAACCCGGAACACAAAGCTCGGCCTGTTGCCTCTGGATGCAGCTGGTTGTTTAAGACCAGACTCAGCACCTGGGCTGTGGCTCTACTGAATGATGTGGTTAAAGCTGATCTGAGCCTCACCTGGGAGGATCCGTCCCCCGGACAGCGGGTGCCAGGGGTCGTTGTCGGTGGCCAGGAACAGACACTCGGGGTCCCTCAGGTAGCACGAGGCTTTAGCCAGTTTGAGAAAAGTCAGTTTATCATCGTGTCCCACCAGCACCGCCTTCACGTCCGGAGCCAGGGCGCAGTTGTAGATGGTGGCGTCCGGGTCGTCGTCCGCCTCCTCCACGCACGGGACGCCCGCCTCCAGCAGCTCCCTGCGGAGACCCTCGCAGCCCACCACGAACACCTGACCGTGGACCTTGACGACGTCCCGCAGGTAGAGAGCCGAGCAGTACGACGAGCTGAAGATCTGCTCCAGCATCACGTCGGTGAAGCCCAGCCGGGAGAACTTGTGCACGTAATTCTCCCGCGGCCTGGTGCAGTTGTTGGTGACGAACACGACGTTTTTCCCGCGGCGGATGAGAGAATTCACCACCGTCGCCGCGCCCGTGATCGCGTTCTCTCCGTGCCATATGACCCCGTCGCAGTCGAAGAGGAAGAAGTCCTTGGCCTCGAGCAGACCTCTAATTTGCGCACCGCGAATTTTCTGGCAGCCTTTGAACCCAAAGGCTCCTGCCATTCCGGCGTTTTCCTCGTTTTCTTCCGTCTTTCACCCGCTAGTGGTGCCCCATGTCTGAGGCGCGTGCATAATATGATTAAGACAACCGGCTTCAAAGAGCAGAAAAGCAAAACAAAATGTCAGGAAATCACATTGCAGGGACCTTGGAGCGGCTACCTACACGGACAGACAGAGGGATACATAAACATTGACGTCTGCACGCGCTCCTCGTCAGGATCGACCAATCCTGAAGCAGCACGGTGGCCAACCACGCTCGTGCCCGTCAAGAATGAGCCGCATCATTTATACCCCGGCGTAAGTAGTGGCGCACAGACAAGGTGGAGTTTGGCAACAAAATGCCCCAAATCATTCATTTATTCATTCAACCTTTATTTATACAGGTTAATCCCATTGAGTCTCGGGGACTCATTTACAAGAGAGATCTGATTTTAACAATAGACAATCATAAAATAAAGCACATAAACAGAGAAAAATTAATTAAAGAAAATGATGTTAAGCTGATTGGTAACTCTAAAATTGTCCCTAGGTGTGAGTGAGAGAGTGAATGGTTGTTTCTCATTTGTCTCTATGTGTCCCTGTGATGGACTTGCGACCAGTCCAGGGTGTACCCCGCATAGATAGTACCCCGCCTCTCGCACAGTGATTGTCAGACATTGACGTTGTGATAGATGAAGGTTTTATCCCTGGTTACCCATGACCCAAGAGAAATTTGGTAGTCAGCCCATCTCCGAGGCTGTCGGAGGAGTCAGATACAGATAAGCTTTGATTGTTGATTTTCTTCAGGCAGACATATTTTTTTCTTCAGTCTTGAGTCCATCTGGACGTTCTGGTTCCAAAATGGCCTGATTGTGGGAATCCATTCCACTGATCCATGTCATGAGCCTCCTTCAAGGTCGCTCCCACCATGCTGACGAGTCCCAGAAGCCGCAGGTGGCCTGAGATTCTCATAAATCTTACGGTTTAGCTCATAAATCAGCTGATTTTGAGAACTCACGACGCGGATCAAACCTTCACACTGACTCAGAAACTTTGTAATGACCGAAACTGCTGCCGATGTCTTCTTCAGTAGTCGATAAAACAGAGCTCCGCCGATGCCAAAACCCAGTGTCCCTGCTATCATAAATCCAACTGTAAACGTCTTCGCCGTCCTCCTGAGACAAGACTGAGAGACACATAAGCTGCCACACTCCCCACAGATCCATGACGTGCCCCACAGCGTGTATCTCAGCAGAGCAAGTGGGTTCTCCAGGACCCTGTCGTTTTGTTGAACAAAATTTGTCAGTAGCGTTGAAAGTTCAGGTTACCAGATCCATAATCTTAACTTACGTTCGGGAGATGTGTACCAGGCACTTCAGACACACAGAGAACGAAACAGGAGGACGGAAAAACGGGGGAAGGAAGACAAAGCAGCCACCTCGAGCGAGAGCCAGACAAAAAAAAAAGTTCAGTCCGTACTGATGGCCACTGCATGTAATAATGTCCTGAGAGCATGCTGCAGCTGCACTCCCGTAGGAGGAGATGTAAGAAATCAAGACATATTCCAACAATAATTAGTTAAATCATCGGTTTGTTCAATAAAATCAATTTATATAACAGTAGCTAAAAAACTAAAAGTAACAAAACTGTAGCTAAAAAGCCTACATTGGCATAACATTAGCTAAAAATTTTAATTACTGGTACAGCTGAAAGCTAAACACATAACAGAACAGTAGTTTAAAGTTTTCAATATCAAACGGTAGCTAAAACGTAAAGTAACAAAACAATAGCTAAAAGCTAAATGTAAAAGAATAGAAGCTAAATGTAGCAAAAGGAGACAAAAGCAGAATTCAAAGAGGTGGGACTGGGAGATGTTTTAAAATGAACTGAAGACAGCTCAGTGTATTTCTATGGGTAATTGTATTTAAATAGAATGTAACTCTTTGAAAAGTACAAAAGTTGTAAAATAAATAGCTGCTTTAGAAGGAAACATCCTCTCACAACACTTCCATTTAAGAAATAAACACCTCCCTTGCCAGGTTATGTGCCGGTGAGAGAAAACAAGCGCACCCACCAAACTTATAAATCTGCACCTTCTTGGTTAATTTTAGATTTTAAAAGGAAATAAAAAGGGTTTTAAAAAGAGTAACCTCATTATTATTTCATATTTTATTGAGAAATTAGGTATGCAAAACATTTACAGTTATAATCTTTGTGTAAAACATTCTGTGGTGTATTTTATATGGAAGGTGCTAAATAAATCCATTTTAAATTACACAGTTATCAAACTTTTAGACAAGGCCATTTTATTGTAGCTAATGGTTTTTGTTATTTTCTAAAAAGGAAAAAAAATATAAAATTGCTCTCTGCAGCAAAGATTAGTAGTTATTAAAACAAACTAAAACATATTTCTTTTATTAGTATTTATGTAAACAATAATAGCATTTATAACTAATGACATCAGTGTACCACATTATAACATTTAGGAAGGAAACACTATTGACTCAGTTTGATGGTCAACTCTGCCTTCATGTCAGTAGATGGAGCTATAACCAACAAACAGAGCACAGGATGAGTCTTAGCCACTCTATAACATTATATTTATATATATTCACATCTTGTTCTACAATCTTCCTTTTACTGTCAGGAAAAAATAATACTGAGACAACAAAAATGGTTTAGCCTAAAAACAGAAAACTATCTCAGGAAGGATTACTGTTCAGTGTCCACTTGCTCTAGAAACATGGAAACTCCACACAAGAAGCCCATTTTTCAAAAACATTTCAGTGTCGTACCATTTACTTAAAGGTATGTACAGTTGCAGTCAAAATATCTCGTAACTTTACTGGACTGAAATGTTCAACGTTGGGGTTCTTGTGTGGGGTTTGCATGACGTCTCTGTCAGATGACCAGTTTTTATTTATTTTTTATTGGTCGTCATTGAGAAGTTAAAGTGGTGACTTAGTTGACACAAGGTGTGAACGTTTATAATCCAGTGAATAATCTGCACCAACTGAGGAAGACTCCTGTCTTTTACCAGACTTATTAATTATTGTGTTATTGTTGCAATATGTTTATCACACTGTTCACAACAGTTAAAAAACCTGAAGTGGTTGTTGAAACACTGCTGTATGACTGAAAATAAGATGTCAAACACAATTTTCAGTTTAAATTTAACTAAAATGTCACAATTTCTTCCTTTTCGAGGACGCCTCTGTTGTTAGATTCACCTTGCTGATGCATCTTTTCAGCTTGGTGCTTTGATGGCGATCTGCTTAGCTTTGGTTTACTTCGCTTTTTCACAAGTTTGTTATTTTCCTGTATTTTTTTTTGCCCCTTCTGGTTCTGTCCTGTTATACTTTGAGTGCTTCGCCCTGCCCATTTTGGATTGCGTGCGAGACAGAGGAAGACTCACTGGCACCACCAACTGCCAGACAAACTGACAAATGAAATGCAGGACAGGAATGATGGATTGGACAGCTGAATGGACAGGGAACAGGCTGTCCTAATTGGTCATTATTTCCCTGCTACTCTATATTTTCCCAGCAGCTAACCCCCAACACAGATGTGAGGATTGGAACAGAGAGGGGATGGGGTCCTCCAAGGGCCAGTCTGTTTCTAACCATGACTAGAGCACTGACCGTGAACGGTTGTGTGCTTTTGTTTTGTTTAAGAAGGAGAAGGAGACTCAGAGGAAACCAACAAAGGAGGGTGTTGGGTCAAAGTTGAGACTTGCAGGTGGTGCTGGTGGTTGAGAGCTAGTAGACCAGAACACTGCACTATTCACTTTTTGCACAAATCCAACACTGGTTTTGGGTGTGGGGTACCACTGTTAAAACTGCTTGTTTGCTAAAATAAAACAAAATCTGCATAGAAATATCAACAGCTAGTCTATTAAGAACTGCTAAAGCACACATAAATGCAAAACTTGTGTTTTATAGCACATATTTCAAGCACATTTGTGTGCAAACTGTTTGCAGTCCCTGTGTGCAGTGCTGTCAGGTCAAGGCAAGAGGCGCTGGACAGGATGACGCTGCAAACAGAAGATATGTCAGACTTGATGGAGGGGAGTGGAGGAGGACACTTTGCACTGCGGGCGTGAAATTAGAATGCAAACAACAGACTCAAAGTAAGTTTTCATATAAACAATGCTAAGCAGTAAAGTAAGACTTTTTAAGTTTCTAAATTTTGGTTAAAGTAAAATAAATAATGGACAGGAGGGGTGGCAAGTCTGAGGAAAATGGAAACGGTCAACTTGTTGGCACTTTATTTGCTTAAAGATTAACTTCAAGAATCACAATTATACCAGCTTATTTAATGAGTTGTGATATTTGCAAATGGAGGAACTGAAATGTTGTATTTGTACAGGTAATAAATCAGAATTGAGGTGTAAAGCTGAATAATTTAAATAAATCTATGAAATGTCTATTGTGTTTTATTGTGTTTGTCTGTGTTATTCTTGGTCCGACACAATGTCCACCAAAGAACTGCAGGTCCAAGAAGCCCCAGGCAGAGAAGAAGCACCAGGTCCAGCAGGCATCGCTGGTACCATGGTTGTGTTAGTGAAACTGGCCTCAAATGAGCTCCTCCTCCACTCTTCAGAATGTGCTCCACCCACCCGGTGAACCGAAGGCCAGGAGGGACAGGATGGGATTTATGGATCCTGCTGAGGGACAAAGCTGAAGACTTGAACCTAAAACAGTAGTTAAAACACATCTTTAGTGTACAAACATCACTAATGTTGCAGTGAGCCACCCATTTACCTGAAGTCTTGTATAAGGTGATGAACGGTGGTTTTGAGAAGGTCTCTGGTGATGTGTCTGGGGTTGATGCTGAGACCAAGTCCTTTTGTCTCAGCTCTCACCAAATTATCAAACTGATCCCCAAACAGAGGAATTCCCAGCACAGGAACCGCATGGTACACTGCCTGGAGCAGGCTGTTTTGCCCCCCATGGGTGATAAAGAGGCGCACTGTTTTGTGCCCTGATAAAAACATGAAAATATAGTAAAATGACATAAAGAAGGTTAGAGGGCAAGTAATAACTGATATAACTTAAAGATAAGAGGAGTCTGATTTAAGGTACGGATTTTAATAACGACAAGCAAGCTTCAGTTTTTAACATTCCCAAAATGTGTCAATTCTAAGAAAGTTCATTCATTATTCAGTGAAATGGGCCCATTGAAGATGACTGCTCCTACCTAGCAGATCATTAATAGGCAGCCAGTCTAACAGCCTGAGATTGGGAGGTCTATTCAGATGAGAGGGCCATTTGTGAGAATCGTACCTAAAAACAAAACAAAAATTAATAAACATCCCACAATGTCATGAAATTAGACACAATTATAGATTTTGTTGTAAAATTGCATTTTCTCAGATTCACATCACTAAATTAAAAATGATGCTTTTCATGTTTATGTAAACCTTAATGTACTTTTATTGTACCTCCAGAGTACCGCCTGTGGGATCTTAGAGAAGCCTGCCACTAGTTCCTCAAGCAGAGGATCCACAGACACTGAAGAGACCATTGATCCAAGAGTAACAACAATAAAACCCATCTCTCCAAAACTGGAGATCCATAATTCAAGGTCCTGGAAGAGAGACGTTAAAAGATATAGTGGGAAGACGGAGAATAAAAACAAACACCCTGACTCAAAAATTAACTTTATTTTAGAAATTAGGGGCTGATCCATTTTAGATATAAAAAAGAAGAAACCTGCTCCAAAGGCTTGGCGACTTTATCCAGAAGGCCTCCCACCAGCACAGTGTAAGGCATGAGAGGCTGCGGGAACTCCAGTGAAAAGTCGGTGTTGAAAGCCCAGAGTTCTGCTCCTTGGTGTAACTCACTCAGCCCGCCAGAGGGTGAGCCTGACTCAAGGTGACGCTCAGCTACTTCACTAAATACTGACCATACCATTTCCTGTCCTTTGACATAAAATAAATTGGGAAAAAATATTCCACAACCATTTTATCTATCAACTGAGAGCATTATTTTTGTGAGAATTGGATAATGAAAATCGGAAGATGCTACGATATAGGGAAAAAATGCATCCAATGTTATGGCAGACACCAACCATGTTAGAAAAGCGTGTTTTGATTATTATAAAAAGGTGACTACCCTCAATAATTCATAATTTTCAGGGTAACAAAATCCTTACCTATTGGTGACAACAGAGAATAGATTAAATTTTTAGTCCGACCCCAGAGGTTCATGCGGTCAGACAGCTGGGAGCTGAAGACTGGGATGTAGGACACTGGGCTGGGAAGAGTGATGGACAGAGGACCATTCAAAGGGCCTGGATAAAAAGCTATGTACTGGATCCCTGAAGGAAAAGAAAAGAAAACTGTAAGAAATATTTAAGAAACAATTTGGAGAAACTAAGATTCCAAAAATCACATGATGACTGTATAACTTCAGGTAAAAAATAAATGACTGTAACAACGACAAAAGACAATGTGAAATGATCAGCACATACTCAGTCTATGAGCCAGGATGAAGGAACAGGGGTTAAAAGCATCAATGATGGTGATATCATATTGTTCCTTTTGTAGGAAAGTTATCATCTCTTTGTCCTCCAATAGCTTATCACACTGGAACGCTAAGTGCCCCATGAAGTTTAGAAAACCATTAAAGCTCTCCCTGAGAGAAAAGGAAAAACAAAAATGTTTTATAAACAAGTTATTTGCAAAAGATTAAATGTAAAAAATGGTGCAACATAGGAATATCTGTATCATTTATGTGCTTTGAGGTGTTGTTTTTATCCAATCATCAAGTTTTCTAAAATATGAGCCACCTTCCCAGTAAAAACTGCGTTTGTTGCTCCAGAAACCAGTCATTGTATTCACTGATGTACTTTTCTCCTAAGGACCATGTGCTTCTTTTATAAGTGTCTGCACGTGCTGCGTAGGAAAAACCTGGTAGGAACAGGAATGTTCTTTCATTCAGGACAAATGTACAGTTTTAATAAGTTTAAATGTTTTTAAATAAACAAACAAAATACCTGTAATAACTGGGATGCCTAGCTGCAAGAGCATGTGGACGTCATGGCCTTGCTGGTGTAAGTTATGAGATATTTCATCTAACAACATGTAGTGGCTTCCTCCTATGAAAAAACAAAAGGCAACTCTAAATAAAAAAACGACAGTGCATGCATGATTTTCTGTTTTAAATAATCTCGATAATTTTCCATTTTAACTTATAATAATTTGTATTAATTGGTGTGTTTCCCTGAATTTTGTTACTATGAAGATTTCTATTCCAAAAGCCAATGGGCTATTTCACAATCTACTTTTATTTTACTCACCAATCAGACAGACAGTCAGAATCTTGGCAGACTGAAGCACTGGAAGAACTAGAAGAAAGAGCGTCCAAAATACAATCCCCATGCTGATATTAGGAGCAAGCACTGACCTTCAGCCAAAGTTGTTCTCATCCAGCTGAAAAATAAACTGGAAGAAGAGCACTGATGACAAAAACTGAGCAATTCTCCCCCCAAAAATGAACCTATTAGAATATTTAAACAACTGCTGTCTTGAAGTAATTTAAGTAAAATTTCCAGTTTGCGTTTAGAATAGTTAAAATGTACCTATTATGATGTGTCTTGCAAAAATCAATCAAAGGTCCAGTGCTCAGGTACAGTTTTTCCTCATTCACAAATTCTTTTTGTGTATATGTCTCATGTGAGTTGCTCTGCGTTCTCTAAAATCAGACAATGAGAAGACCAAGAGAGCTGCGCTGGACCTGCAGTGAAAGGGAGGGAACGGGTGGTGTGACAGGGGGCTGAAGAGTTCCCCAAGCCCTTATTGTATAAACTGAGACAAATAAAAATAATGATAAGAGGATTAACTTCTGAAGGGTTTTGAGTGAAAATAACTTTAACCTATTTAGCACATATCGAACAAAGAACCTACTGATCAGAATTATGTCCTGTTTGAACTCTGATTTATTTATATTAATAATTGTTGGGATGGATTTGCAATCTGTCCAGGGTTCATTCCATGTCATAACTAATAATAGTCAGGATAAACTCCAGATCCTCTGTGAATCTGAACAAAATAAAGCAGATATTATCAATGAATGAATGAACTGATGGCCTGTTTATTGATAACAGTTGGGATCAGTTTCACAGACTATTATTCATATTTACATTTAATTAAATCTACAAAATATCTCAATCTTTTGATCTAGAACCACAAACATTTAGTTTATTCTACACTTTGTGTTCCTAATTTAAATGCAGAATGAACTGCACCTTTGTGTTAGCGTTGATGGGGTGATGGGGTTGATAGGGTTGCATGTGCCTTGGCAGGCCGTAACTGGCAAGTCAAGCTTGACATGCAGGTTATCCAGGACAATGCTCTCATTGTAAGTGCAACTGGTCCTTTTTTTTTGTGTCTGGCAGGTCATTAGAAAAGCAAGTCAGTCAGAAAAACTGCTGGAGTGTGTGAGAAAAAAGGCAAGATAGAAGGGTCAACCCTATCATCACCGAGGTGATTGTTGACATTTCAAGCATGACATAATTTCAACTATCAGTTCACTTGTAGTCACATCAATGAATCAAGATTTGTTAGCATGTCTTGTTTTTATTTAACAATAAACTGAAAACTGTTAAAAGACAAAAAGTTATGCCTCTCATTTATTGTTCTTCATCCAAGCAGCACACTGTGAATGTCCTGAAAGACAAAAGATGAACCAGAGACAAACAGCTTTTCAGAAATGATACAGGTTAAACTTGTGAATGTGATCTGCAATGTACATGATGGTGAACATTTTGGGTATTTGGCAGTCTAATCAAATCCATATTTTAGAATAAGGCGACAAATAAAAGCACAGATGGATAAATATAAAAACTTACCACAAGCTGGTATTGTGTTGAGGTTTCTATCAGCTTTTGAGTGTAAGGATGCTTAGAAAGAATAGAGAAAGGGACAGAGTCCTCTGGATTGTATCCCAGATCCCTGTACACGTTCAGCAGGTGCTAGAAGACAGCAGACATAAACTGCATTAATGTGACAGGAGACTTTATAGCATGGTATGCAAATATTTTTAGATAATTAAGTTCAGTTAATTATTATTAACTAATTACTTAATTTAAAATAAACTGCAATGTTTGGATACAGAAGAAACACATATTTTTCAACATTTAAGTGTCATTTTTGGTATTTTGTTAAAGAGTTTTACTAAATACTTGTACGGCTGTTAATACCTGTGTAAGCTCCTCCTGACTGAGGCAGCCCGGAGGAAGGGGGGAGTTGTCTTTCAACTTGGCAACTTTGTGGCAGATAACATTAAAGAGAGCAGGAAGTGGCACTTCCTGATCCTTAATAAAGCAGCTTGATGCAAACAAGGAATCTTCTTCCATGTAGTCCCCATTAAAGTGTGAGGAGAGCTCTGAGGCTTCTTCAAAACTCGGCATGGACTACAACACACCATGACAATATGACGAGACACAAGACAAGAGATCAGTCATTAAATTTTTTTTTTTTAAATATTCTTATTAAAAAAGCAACTTGAAAACCACATAATGGCTCTTTTAAGATCATTATTGAGAAAAAAAAAACAATATTGTATTTGGTATTTGAAAGGGATTTTATTCACTTTTCTTCCCACCTTTACTAGAAGGCTTGATGGAGGGTGATGGATATGTTGTCCTAACACTACACTAAGAGCTCTGATGAAACCCTGTTGAGGGTTAGGGTCAGCTGCAAAGTACTGCAACATGGACACATAATCCAGTCGTGGAGGAGACCTGGAATGGTCTGCAAACAGCTGGAAAAAGAACTAAGAGAAGAAAAGACAGACAAAAACATCTTTGCTAATTGCCTTCAACTTTGTTGGGGCTTTATATTATGTAAACACAAAACCCTCACATTTAGAGCAAATATGAAGTGACTGATTTTTTAAAAATCAGATTAAATACCGTGTTATATTTTTACAATGAGATTCCAGCAACAAAAGAGTATTTGTTTTAACTTTTTTTTTAAATCATTACTGTTTGATTAGACTTTTGTAAAGATTGTTTGTTGTTCAAGAAAAACTGGAGAGAGTTTAGCTTGTTGCATTTCCACAAACCACTATCAAAGAACAGTATACAGTATATACATGTTTAATATCACTGTTATTATCAATACTTTTATGTTTCCCCTTTTATTATATTCAGGATGATGGTTAACTGAATGAAATAATAACCTTTTACCTTGCGTAGGTTAGCCAGACGGCTGAAAGGTAATGGATCTGAAGGGTCTTCAGGTACATTCTGGACAGTCTCACTGGAAAACCATAATTCTGTCTGTTGTCAAATGAAAAAAAAGAGCAATTAAGGACTAAGCATGCAGCTATGGCATGAGGTATGCTACTGGAGATGTAAGACGTTTTAAAATTTGAATGTACAAGTTTTTCTAGAAAACAAGGAATTCATGTGAACACAATCGAAATATATATCTTGAAAATCATAAACCGGGACAGCACTAACCTGTAAATACTGTTTCTGGTTTATGTAGCCTGCGCCATCAGCATCTGCTGTTTTGAAATGTTGCAGCACATCTAGCAGCTGTGTCAATGTGGGAAATGGCCAAGGAAGAGCAGCACTGAGCAGAAACCGATGCCAGTCTACCAGCTCAAATTCATCCCTTATTAAAGATACAACCTCTACCAACTAAAAAGAGACAGTAAGTACTTTGTTTAGACTGAAATTTACCTTGCAATACATGGTTCTATAATCACCAAAATGAAGTAATATAACATCAAAAGATGTGATAAAATAGAAAATAAACAAACATCTGAAAGAGAATTTCATCTTTATGTGAATTTTCATGAACATGTTTATAACTACGGTGTCACATAGCTGTGATTTAAATTTAGAAGATTCTGTTCTACATACCTGTGTTTCATTCATATTTGTCCAGGGCTGAGGTAAGATGTTTCTGCCTCTGCTGATGGAAACTGTGTCTTCAAGGAAATTAGATAACTCAAAGCTTGATATAAGGCCTAAAAAGCACAAAAAAAGAAAAAAAATGATGGACAGAACAATTAACTGATCTTATAACGCCACAAGTTTTGTTCTTTGTCTGCACCTGATGGAGCAATGTTGCATAGCTGATGGTGTAGTGATTCTAACTGAGCAATAGTTAGTGTGGATTGTATTGGATTCTCAAAAGGAGCTGGACGAGGAGGAGGTGTTGGACTTGGTACCAAAAGACAGTCTCCATTCAAATAGAAATCACATCCATCCTGGAGTAAAATATATGAAAATAAATTGTAACATCGGACAAGTTAAATGTTGACTATTGAGGTATACATTAACATTGAAAGCCTGTACAAACCAACACCAGCTCATACTGCAGCTTAGCACCAGTCTCTATAAAGTGGCGAACCACCTCTGATAGTTGGTCAACACTGGACAAAGAGAGAGAGACACATAAAATATATTTTACCAACAACAAAATGCCTTTCTCTGGTCAAAAACCATAGTTTAAAAACAAAACAAAACAATGTACTGGTATTTATCCTGATGCATGCTCCATAATCCAGGTTAAAAAAATCAAAAAAAGTTAAGTCTGGTCCTCTGGACATTAAGACCCATGTACCGGTATTTATTTTCTAAAATCTTATTCCAAAGATACAATAGAAATATTAGAAATATTTTCACAACAACCCCGCCCCTCGCACAGTGATTGCTGAACATGGGCACCAGCGACCCCCGTGACCCAAAATGGAATAAGCAGGTAAAGATAATGGATGGATGGATGGATTTTCACAACAATAGTGTTTTGTCAATTTCATACTAAGTACAGTAACACACAAGCCCAAAAATTATTTTTTGATTTGTACAATATGTTCAACTTTCAAATGTATAACAATATGATAAAACAAGATGAACAAATAGTTTTTATTCTGTGTTAACTGTAATAAACTATGTTAAATGATGCAGTGCAGTGCCATTCAACTTTTAAATGTTTGGGCACACTTAGTCATATAAAATGTAAGATTTGTAGATGCGTATATGTCATACTTCTTCATTTCTGACAGATAGCGTCCTTGAAACCACTTTTCCATGTTGGTAAACATCTCATGAGCTCTGTTTTCCAAAGAGTGAACCATCACCAGACCATGATCTTTTACCAGCTCAACACGCAGCTTTGCAGCAGTCTCTGGAAAACACGACCAATCATACAGAAAGAGGAACACAAAAAAGGGACTATAAACACACAATGACATGGACTGTATGCGCTAAAATATCTAAGTACATAAACACATTAAAAAAACTGAATATTTTAGAGCCGCACATAAATATGTTCGTGTTTGAAAATATGTTGTTGCAACAGCTGGAAGTGTTGTGACATAACGTATTGCATTTTTAAAGTGTTTGTGTGTGCATACGTACCCTCATGAATTAGTGCGGCTGTATATTCTTCATGTATTTTCACTCTGATCTCTTGATCGTGAGTCGTCTCTGGGAGGTCTTCAGTCTGTGTCTTCTCTGTGTCAACATCTGGTTCGAATAAATTCCAAGTTAAGAGAAAAAGGTAAACATATGGAAGGTCAGTTAAAAATAAGTATTATAAGATGTTTTTGTGTGTGTTTTCTTAGATGCATGCCTGTCTGTTTTTGATCTGACGATGTTGAGTTCTTCTCCAATGTCTGCTCTTTCTCTTGCACTTTTTCCTTCTGCTCTTTTGTCTCCCTCTGCTGGGTCTCTGCTGACACCTACACATTTGCAAACCATCATCCATCCATCCATCCATCCATCCATCCATCCATCCATCCATCCATCCATCCATCCATCCATCCATCCATCCATTATCTTTACCCGTTTATTCCATTTTGGGTCACGGGGGTCGCTGGTGCCCATGTCCAGCAATCACTGTGCGAGGGGCGGGGTACACCCTGGCAAGTTGCAAGTCCATCACAGGGACACATAGAGACAAACGAGACAAACAACCATTCACACTCTCACTCTCACCTAGGGACGATTTAGTCTAACATGCATGTGTTTGGTCTGTGGGAGGAAACTGGAGTACCCAGAAAAAACCCACACATGCATGGAGAGAACATGCAGACTCCACCTAGAGTGGCCCACTGGCCGGGATTCAATCCGGCAACCTTTTTCCTGAGAAATTCAAAAACGTTCAATACAAAAACAACAGAGAGGAGGCAGCTCTACTGACTGTGTCATCGTGCTGCCCATGCTATATATACTTTTTAGCACTTTCATACAACTTCTTTATACAACACACAGAGCATTACCAATGTGCTGATGGCTTTAAGTGCTTCCTCGTAGTCTGAGATGAGTTTCTCATCTGATGGCTAGAGAAGACAATGCAATGAATCACTATTTTGATATTGGATCCAAATAATTCTCCATGAATTATTTAATTTGAGTGTGGCAGAAACTCTGACCTCTTCAGGTTCTGACTGAGCCTGGTTTGAGGTTGCTTCTCTAGAGTCAGGGCATCTGTAGAAAAGAAAATTTATAAATGGGGAAAACTGTTTAAATGCCATTATACTGGAAAGTATTTTCTGTATGATACATATCAATATTTGATGCATGTGTGATATATATTAATAATCTTTTGGCAAATGTGTCAATTTCATTGTGTCGTAAGATGATATTAACAGCTAGTTTCTTGCCTCTCATCCTCGTCTGTATTTCCAGGGGTTTTGATCAAGTTGATATGACAAAGTTTAGAGAGTGGTTTCAGCGGCACCTGCCTGTGCATACCCCAGTAGTAGACCCTTAGAAGACAGAGTGTTTCCCAAAAATAGCTCAGCTCTATCTGTACAACACAAGCAATCTATTAATACAAATTTTATGTATCTGTAAAAATCAACATTTAAACTTTAGAATTGAAACAACAAACTTAAAGTCTTCAATCAACTAACTCAAATTTGTGAAGTTACCTGTATTAGTATAGAGTGGTGGTTGGTAAGGAGAGAAGTGTGGGCTTCCAGCCACCCATTAGTTTTGAGGGTGGCCCTCTCGTGCGCATTTTCCTCTTTACATTTATCAATAATGTCCCACAGTCGTTCACGCAGTTCCTGCACATATCAGAACCACTTCAATATACTTGTTTTTTAAAGAGAGACAAAAAGACAGTTTATAAGCTTTAGTATTACATTAAAGAACATTACGAATTCCTCTTACATCCATTCTCAGATGTAGCTCTGCTTTGGTATCCTCATCTTTTCTCATATCATCAGCTATGCTATTGAAGTCCTTTTGCCACTGAGAAACTAATTCCTGTTTCAAGTCAGGGCGACCCAAGTATTGCTTGTATCTTTCTCTAAACAAAACAACAGTAAGAACAAAAATATTATTAGTTTATAAATGAAAACTGTTTAACTTATGGGGTGCAGTAGAACGAATAATGTATGATTTAACTGCAGTGTGCAAATTGTGTTGGCTGTAAAATTAAAGCACACAGCCTATAACTGATAACGTATAAATGTATTCCGTCAGTAATTCAGATGTCATGCTGAATCAACAATAAAAATGCCTATTAAAGTCTAGAAACACAAATAAAAAAAACACAAGATTATGATTACTAGAAGTGATGCTAAAGGTGTCGGAATTAACAATTAATTATTAATATTCAAAATGTTATGTTGTACTAAATAGAAAAGTGCTTATAATGGGATTTTCTGCACACCAATATTTTTCTTGAAATATAAGTAGTTAAAGGGCTTGTTATGATACCTGATATTGAAAAAGTCCAAATCAACAGCAGCGAGTTGTGAGCGCAGATGCTCCATTACTTGCTGTATATTATTCACATAAGACTCACATATATTGTCCCAGTATGAGCAAAGGTACTCTGCTGTTTCCTTGGAGAAAGACACAAAAAGGAAGACATGAACAAAGTTGGAGTTAGGTAAGGAGAGGAGGTAAACAAAACAAATACTGGTATGTGTAACAGAATATTTAACAAAGTCATCCAGTCATTTTCTTTCTACTGTCAACTAACTCTAACACTTAATACAGGTAGGAGACTGCAGGCTGATCAACTGTTGTAAAAAGGGTTTATAGTGAAAATGTTAAGTACCACTGATTCTTGTTTTTATGTAATAGACATAACTAACTTATAGTGAATACAGAGAGCTATCCTAGCACTCAAAAATACAGCTGTGGTGTACGGTGGTCAGTGCCAAAGTCTTGTAGGGGTTCAAGCCCAGATTGTATCAGAAAAGGCATCTGGAGTAAAACAATCATCAAATCTTTCATGCAAGATAGCTCGCTGTGGCAATCCCTGAAGAAGGGAGCAGCCCAAAGAAAGTTTTATCCCAGCATCCACAAAAACAATAAATATAATCTTACCAAAGAAATGGGTTCATCCACAAAGAGCTGATGAGCTGAACCTGGTTTTGAAGATGTGGTCTTTGACTGGTCCTTGGAGACATCGTGATTGTTCTCATCGTACACTGAGGAAGGTGACACATTTCCAGTGTGGCCTATTGTAAGGCAAAAAAGCTTGCATTTATTTTAAAATAACAACATTGATACGTTTTTCAATGGCAACTGTTTACGGTCAGCTCTGGATCAGTAAGTGCTAAATCAGAACATTGAAGTTTATCCTCCTTAAGAATAGAGCAGGATTCCATAAAGCCAAGTTCTTCACCAGTAAAAGCTGTTAGTTGTTTTGCAAAAGGTAAAGGAGTGCCCCGTGGTTTTGCACTGTTTGACACCACATCTTCAACAGCAGGATTAGCAAAAGCTGAAAAAGAAATATGTTGTAATCTTCTTAGCAAATGGTGTTTGTGCCCAGGCCAATATATTGATAGATTACAATTTTGTAATGTTCAAACAAGTCAATCAGTGTCTCATAAAAATAGTTATTTTTACTGTTATTTTTATCATTTTTCTGTCATAAGGAAGAAAACACAAGTTGCTTTTGAGAGGATAATTGTGTACACAACACTGTGTACACTGTACACAATTTCGTTCCAACTCATGTACCACAAGTGAAGCAAATGACAATAAAAGACCTTGACTTGATGTAATTATATGGCAAAAAGTTACCTTCATGCTTTTTTTGGATTACTCGCTGCAAGATGGATTCCACCTTGCTGTAAAGCTCCCCTTCATCCACATCTGCACTGACACGGGCCAAAATGTTTTGCTTTTCACCAAACCATTCCTCTAACTCTGGCCAGTCTTCTTGAAATGTTGTGGTTCTGTAAGAGAACATTATGTTATTGATACTGGTAATTATATCCACACATTAGCTACCATGCATTTTTTAGTAATCCCACCTGATTGGAATCTGTGCAACATACAAATCTGAAGGTTGGGAAGCTGTAACAGCTGCATCTGTGCCCATATCAGGTTTGGAAAAAAACAAAACGATTAAAACATTTGACCTATGTGTGCATATAAACAAGTACGCACACCAAATAAATCATGTTCGAGTGTACATATAGACAGAAAGAACCTCAGATCATTGCAAAATACCATCATGTTTGTATGCCCGTCTGACCACACACTCATCTGAGATATCCAAAAGAAGAGCCAAATCCAGCACAGGTGCAGGGTGTTTGGAGGGTTTAGGTGGATCTGGATCTGCAGCAAGGTTTGTGTTGCTGACGGTTTCATTTACTTCCTCTACAAACCCGCCCAGAGCTTTCTCTAGAAGATGAGCCTGGGTGATGTTATATGGAAAGCCATCCAGGATCCAAGCTGACTGAGCTGGAATTTGACTAATGACAGAAGAAAAACAATTTTAGTATTTGTAAGATTGCTGATAAAAGTATATTACAGCATCTGATACACCTCACCTGATTGCCTTTACCATAACATCCACTAACAGATCATTTGAGATGGTATTTTCTTTCCTTGTACCTTTTTCTGCAACAGTTCCTTGTGTTGCACAAGTAGGTAGCTGTAGAAAAGCCACGTAGGGGGGAAAAAAAACTTATTTTTTTTCATACAGACACAATAAACTAAAGAAAAAACGCTTTTACTTTTTAAAATTTCTAATTATTATATTAATCCATATATATATATTAATCTGTTGTGTTAATTAGTAAAAACAATTCATAAAATGCTGAGAAACAAGAACAATTAATATAAATGTTAGTTTAATTGTAAAAAATGAGGTTAAGAGTTCATGTTCCTGAAATAAGTGAGCGTTTGTATTTGAAAATTATATTAAATCATAAATATAGACTTATTTTAAAGAAAAAAATCTACATTAACTGCACAATTACTGATTTACCTTTTCTACAGACTTCAGTCTCTGTTCAATCAGTGTGTCGGCCGATAAAACACAAATACCAAGTGCTAAAGCAGAAAAACACATAATTTCAGTTATAGCATATACGTTTTCAGAAAATACTAACTGAATTTAATTATTATATAGATGTGCTTCTTTTGCTCAGATTTGATACCTTCAGAAATCTTAGCCAGGCAGGTAGTCTTGCCTGAGCAAAACTTGCCCAGTACGCAGGCTTTGATGGGAGTGTGACCAAACGAAGGGGAGGCTGATTTGATGACGGATGGATGAACAATTTTCTCCAGTCGTTGGACAACATGGACAAGAATGTTGTTGGGGCTTGGTGGTAATTTTGTCTCAGTTGCTTCCTTTGGCCAAGCCCATTCCCCTACCATATTCTAAAAAGTGTAGGGAAAATAAATCAGGTTAGTTGAACTCAGACAGCATGAAGGCTTTACTTAGAAAAAAAATAATTTTATCAGTGTAGGGTTAGTTAACTGGTTATTTGTTAAAAAAAAAAAAATGTGTGTGATTGATAAAAACAAACCACATTTAATTACTGGTACTATGCTTTTGTTTTAAACTCACTGTGTATTCATAATAAGCCAGGTTGTTGAGTATCTTCTGTTTCTTAAGCTCTGTGGGGTCTAGTGACGTGGACCGCTCATACTCTGGCTGACTGCTTTTCAATGGCTCATAAAGAGGAAGATCTCTGAAGAATAATTCCTTCCACTCTCTCATTAGCATCTTTGGAATTAAACTGAACAGAACAACATAAAACTAAAAAGAGGCCAAGATACTCTTGTAATTGTGCATAAAAACAGATCTGAAAATGGTTCGGTCTCCTTGAACAAGGTATCATATTGTATTTAATGTTTCATCTGAATAGATTAATTTGGTTTACAGCATTATAAACGTTGTATAAACTAAATAAATTTTACAACACATTTAGCACTTCCAAAAATGCATGTACTGTCTTTGAAGTAAATATGGAGATCAGGCAATTTGCCCTGATGTATATTCATTAATCCAGGTAGAAAACGCTAACAAAGTTAAGTCAAATCCTCTGGATGGATTAAAAAATATATAATAAAAATAATATTAATAATAATAAATAATAATATATTTTTTTATTTTTTTAAATCTGTCTAGAGGACCTGACTGATAGATCACACGATTTGTATGTTTATAATCCATTCCATTTTAATAAGCAACATACTTCTCAGTGAGCTGACGATATTCTCCAACCTTGCTTGCCAAGTCCACTATCTGCCCCAGAATGTCCTTGCAGCTCTCAAAATGCTTTTTGTGTCTGCTTTGCGCACGCTCAGCAGCAATCCTGCTACTGAATTCAAGCTCCTTTTTGATATCTTCTTCACGGGCCAGCTTAGCTTGCTGAGCCAAAACCTACACCAGACCAAGACATGTAGATAAAATCAGAGGGCACTGCATGGCTTAACTGTTTACTACTGTTGAAACTACATCAATTTTGAAGTACCGGTATCTATTTGAATGATTACTGATATTAATATCATAATATTAATGAAAAGAGTTGTAAAGGTAAGCAAGAATAAATAAGGAAAGGTTGGCAAAGGTGAAGGGGAAGTGGGTTTTCTCTGTCTAATTTACATGCAATGTTAGGTAACATTACTCCTGTAAAGGTTCTCCTTATTCTATAAAATAACATCACATTTTTCTCAAAATACATTATAATAGTGGAGTGCTACATTTCATTACATTAAATTACATTCCGACCACTTCAGGGTGGGAGTTGGACTTTGGCCAGGGCTGCCTGTTGTCACTGATTCTGTTCATAACTTTGATGGACAAAATTTCTCGGTGCAGCCAGGGAGCAGAGGGAGTCCGGTTTGGTGGCTTCATGATTCTGTCTCTGCCATTTGTGGATGATGTGGTCCTGTTGGTATCATTGTACCATGATTTTCAGCTCTCACTGGAGCGATTCGCAGCTGAATGTGAAGTGGCTAGGATGAGAATCAGCACCTCCAAATCTGAGGCTATGGTCCTCAGGGTCGGAAAAAGGTGGCTTGCTCTCTTCGGGTCAAGGGTGAGGTTCTGCCTCAAGTGCAGGAGTTCAAGTATCTTGGGGTTTTGTTCAAGAGTGAGGGAAAAGTAGAGAGTGAGACTGACAGATGGACTGGTGCGTCATTGGCAGTATAGCGGACTCTGTGCTGGTAAGTTGTGTTAAAGAGGGAGCTGAGCTGTAAGGTGAAGCACTCTTGTTTATTGGTCGGTCTATGTTCCTACCCTCACCTATGGCCACAAACTGAATAAAGACTGAAAGAACGAGATAGCGGACAGGATAAAAGCAGTTGAAATGAGTTTCCTCTGCAGGGTAGCTGGACTCTCCCTTAGGGTCAGGGTTAGAAGTTCAATTATCCGAGAGAGAGTCGGAGTAGAACCGCTGCTCCTCCGCATTGGGAGGAGCTAGTTGAGGTGGTTCAGGAAACTGGTAAGGATGCGAGGTACTTAGGACACGTCTGACTGGGAGGAGACCCCAGGGGAGACTCAGGACATACTGGAGAGAATATGTATTTCAGTTGACCTGGGAATATCTTGGAATCCTCCCAGAAGAGCTGGAAGAGGTGGCTGAGGAAAGAGATGTCTGGGCATCCCTGCTCAAGCTGCTGCCCTGCAACCCGACTTTGGAACGAGCGGAAGATGATGGATGAATGGATGGAGTGCTACATTGTTGGACTAAAAAGAATACTGCATAAGTGTCTTTACTGTGTACTTAAAATAATTGTACATAAAAGCTATCATTTGACATTGAATATCTAAAACAATGACCCCGTCCACCATTTTACAATATGTTCTTTTTGAGCACTCAGATCTTTTGATAACCACTAAACGTTCACATGCTTCACCCTTGTTCAAATACAAAATGTTGTCAGCTAAATATGTAGTACAGTAAATATTTTTTACTACTTTCCCTAAGACTCCACCCATGCAATCACTGAGACAAAAACAAAGCTTATCATTCCTTTTCATACTCAATCTTTCTTACCGCCTCTCTGTCCAGAGCTTCCTGGAAGTCTTTTTCTCTTCTCTGTTGGTACTGCTGTTCTCTGAATGCACAATTCTCCAGAATCACTTCTTTTTGCCTACGTATCTGCATTAGCTGGGCAGCCAAGCGCTGTTCTTGCTTAGTCTGACGTGTCAGACGTCTCACCATTTGTTCCTCTCGTTGCACCTCCTAAAGCAGAGTAAGCCCAATATTTAACTGGCAAACTAATATAAGTGTAAAGCAGAAGATAATAGATAAAAATAACAATTTGAACAGAGTATAATATGTAATTATATCACCATATTACATAATATGTAGGTATTTCTAAATCATATTCACTTCAAGTTCTTAACAAGAATAGAGGAGATAGGCCACTTCATGATTAATAAATTCTTGCAATCCTGGGGTGTTGTTTTGTTTTTTTAAGGATCAGGTGACTTCACAAAAAGGTCAATTTGAAGGTTTACCTGCTGCGCTTCAAGAGCCTTGAATTGCTCCACCAAAAATCTGTCAAGTCTTTTTTCCCTCTGCTCAGAAGTGATTTTATTCTCCTTTAACCGCTGTCGGATCCCCTGTATATACTCACTATTGGATTTTAATAACCACTTTTGTTCACTTTCAAAACCTTCACAGTCCTGTTTGATGCTATCAAGAGAAAAATCAAGGAAAACAAGACAACTGCAAATACAAAAAAAGCTTTCACAAATAAAAATGCATTGCTGTAAAAAAATACTAATAAAAAGAGCAATCAAATTAATTACTAATATAGTGAAAATTCCTTTCCCTTACCTTGATGAGTAAGAAAAACTGGAAGTAACCAGTTTCTTCTTTTTGTCCTCAAATTGAGCAATTTCAGTTTGAACTAGCTACTTCAACACAATCCCAGAAAAGCAAAGGGATAATATCAAAATGATGTAAAATGTAAAGATCATTTAACAATCACATAAATATTTAAATTCTGGTCTCACCTGTGCTTCTTGTTCTTTGTGTTGTTGCTGTTTTTGCTTTATATTAACATTTAAAATAGAGGAAGATGGTTTTGGCACATCAAATTGGTTTTCAGTCACATCACTGTGGTCTTGATGATGCACCTACAACACACCATGGTCAACACTGATCAAGGCATGCAAGTGTTCATGTGACTTTTATAAACAGTACATCACACTTAAAAAAAAGGAAGAAAAATAGTGTTCAATGTCAACCTTTGCACTGCATCACACAAAACTATAAATATATAAACTGCTTTATATATATGATTAAGTTAATGTACTTTAAAATTGTGTATAAAGGTAACAAAACTGTTTTTGCTCTGCATGTTCTTCAGTACCTTCTCTTTGCTTTCCATTCTTTTCCTATCTTGGACTTTGAGCAGCCTCCTTGACTTCATAGGTTGGGTCACCATTGATTTGTCATTCACTTGTTGCTGGTATTTATCCTCAAAGCGCTGAGAAATTTTCTGAAGCTTTAGGTCTGAATCACGCTTCACCACCTGAGGGAGTCGCTATGTAAAAGAAAAATTATTTAAAAACTACTAACCATGTAATTATTGGTAAAAAGCAAGAATATTTAACTCATTATTTTACTGATTAAAAAAAACAAAACTTACACAAGAGAAGATCTCATGCTCCTTTTTGTGCAAAAAAGCTTGGCCTGGGGGTCGATTAATTTCCATCATTGTCCTGCTGATTTCTGTATTCTCTCTCTTTTCAAGTGAGACATAAAGTTGGTAAAGAAGGTGAGTAACAACACCCTCCTTCTCCTGCATCAGATCTTGGGCTGTGTTGATGTCAAAGGAGATCCCCAGCAGCTTTAAAGTAGGCTCAAGTCGTGTAAAGTTATTCACTTTGGCGATGGAAGTACTATAATGAAATGAGAACAGTAAAGATTAGTTGCAAAAACACATTTGGAGAAATATAAGTAACTTAAACAAGACCAACTTACTCTCTCTTCAGGAACATACTAAAATCATGCTGCATTTGATATTTGTGAAGAATTTCTCCAATCAGGTAACCATTAGAAAAATCCATGGCAAAATTCCTGGGGTCTGTGAACATTTATGGATCATCAAGGTTCAAGGTGACTTTATTGTCATTTGTATCACATGTGGTACATGAGGTGGAACAAAA